CGCCCTCTGCGTGGCTGCGACCAGTTGTTAAAACCCTAAAACCAATTAAACTCACTAATAAAGTATTGAAGATCCCTGTGCCCTGGGGTCCCAGATTTCCAGCATCTTCGACATCCGAAGGCCGCCTGGGCCTGGGACCTCCTGACGCCTCCCGGGATCTCTGGGGGGCTCCTGGGATTTTCTGTGGCCTCTACGATTCTACGGATACGTCCAAATCCAGGGAAGCTCTGGAGAGTGGGTGGGGGGAGGGGAAGGGTAGGAGGAGGAGAAGGAAAAGGAGAAAAAGGAGGAGGAGGAAAAGAAGAAGAAGAAGAAGAAGAAGAACGAAGGGGCGGAGGGGGGGGAGGGGTGGCTGGGAAGTCACCCTGATCGTCAGTGCCCCCCTCCCCCTGCCCCCCCTTCTTCCTCCTCCTCCTCCTCCTCTACCTTATCCTCCTCCTTCCCTTCCCCTTTCTCTCCCCCTCCCCCTCCTCCCCCTCCTCCTCCTCCTCCTCCTCCTCCTCCTCCTCCTCCTCCTCCTCCTCCTCCTCCTCCCCTATCCCCTTGCCTTATCCGCCACTGGGCCTTGTGCCCGCTGGGACGTGTTAAAACCTGGGTCGGTACGGGAACGGAAAGAGCGCTTCGTCATGCAGGGGGGCTCCAATATTGCACAAGATGGCTCTTGGGAGCCTTGCCGCTGAAAGCCTTTTACGTCGCTGTATACTCTTGGGGGCCTTGGTGATCAGAGCTTTTTTAATGTCACATTTCGCTCTTGGGGGCATTGGCGTTGAATGCTTTTTACGTCACTGTTCGCTCACGGGGGGCCTCCTCAGAGGCTCTTAGAAGCATCATGAAAGCCTCTTGGGGCCTCTTAGGGGGCTTCGCCCGGCTTGCAATGTTTCTTACGTCGCTGTGCGCTCTCTTGAAAGGCTCTTAGAAACATCTTGAGGGCCTCTAGGGGGTCTTTTGAACCGTTTTGGGCCCTCTTGGGCCGTCCCAGGGCCCTCTTGGACCGTGTTTGGGAGCTTCGGCTGGCTTGGGGCGCTCCTCGTCATTGTCCCTTTCCTCCTCCTCCTCCTCCTCCGCCTCCTCTTCGTCGTCGTTTTCCTCCTCCTTCTCCTTCATATCGCGCGGATGAAGACGAGGTCGAGATCACGACCCTCCCCAGTCCAGACCACTCGCTGAACTGCCGCGGGGCGTGAACTCGCCCTCCTTCCTACCGCGCGGACGAAGACGAGGTCGAGTTCACGACCCGTCCCAATCCAGACCACTCGTAAGAATTGCGCTGTGTCTACACTCAGTCTCCTTCTCTGTGCGCTGTTGCACAGGCACTCTGGCGGGATTTGCCGCAAGGAGTTGGATAGATGATTCCTCGCTGTCGCACCCCCCGACGTGTCGGCGAGGCGGGCCAGGCGTTTCGCCTGAGACTTCCTCACCGTTCATGGTCATGGAGCTTGAAATCAGCAATGCTTGCAAGCGTGGCGGCCGGATCGTTTTCAAAATGGGGATCTCGCCTAGCGCCGCCCACAGTGGTCTTCACAGTTTGCATCAGTTTCAAGGATGGAGAGAGCGGTTCCTTTTCAACATGTGGCTCTAGCCTTTGCGCCGCGCGCATTCGTCCAAAAGGTTTGTCACAATTTGAAAGGTTCGCATGGTTGAAGTCCCGGGCATGTTCTAGCACGGTTTAGGTTTGCAAGGACGCGCAGTCACATTGATTCGCGACGTTGTAGTCCCAGGAATGGTGTCCTTGCACGGCTCAGGACTGTCAGGACGCAACAGCCATGTGATGTCGCGGTGCTGAAGTCCAAGGAGTGGTGTTGTTGGCACGAAGGACGATTCTCAGACGGTTCTTACAATGGGGCACTTCCCGTAATGAAGATAAATTCTTGTAAGGACCCGTGAAAAGGGCAAGTTGGAGGGACAATGTATTGCAAAATCGTTGATGCGTCTTAGGTTTACACTGGTCCTCTTCCTCCTGCTCCTCCGTGTCCATCGTCCCCTGTCTCCTTCTCCGTCTCCGCCTCCGTCTCCGTGTCCGTGTCTGTGTCCGTGGACGTGTCCGTCTCCATCTCCTCCTACTCCTCGTCCTCCTCCTCCCTCTCCTCCCCCTCCGCCTCCTCTTCTCCTCCTTCTTTCTTCTCCCAAGAGCTCCGACGTCGTGATTCTCACCCCAGAACTCTAGACAGCATCTCTGGCAGTGGCTTTTCGCTGCGAGTCGTTTCCTGATGGGCCCAGGGCCCGACGTAGTCCTCGGAAGCTCAAACTAAGGAACCCCAGCCGCCGCTATTTTTCCAAGTCGCCAGAGGTTTGTGTCGGCCAATCAGTCTGGGTTGGCCTTCGCCGCGCGCATTCGTCTCAAAAGTTTGCAGCAGCTTCAAGGGTGGAAGGCGGGCCGTTTTCAAAATGCGGCTCCCGCCCTTGCGCCGCGCGCATTCGTCTTCACAGTTTGCAGCGGCTTCAAGTCTGCTAGGCGGGTCGTTTTCAAAACGTGGCCTTCGCCCTAGCGCCGCGCACATTCGTTTGCAAAGTTTGCAACGGTTTCAAAGATGGAGGGCGGGCGGCTTTCAAAATGTGGCTCTCGTCTTCAGGTTGCTGACATTCGACTTAAATCTGTGCAGCATGTTCAAGGATGGAGGGCGGTTCCTTCTCAACATGTGGCTCTCACGTCCTCATATTTTCAAGAGTTCGCGACAACTTTCAGGATTCGTGCGGTTGAGGTCTAAGGAATGGTGTTCTGCCTCGGCTTAAGATTGCCAGGACGCAAGAGTCACATTGATTCGCGACGTTGCAGTCCCAGGAATTGATTTTGACACGGCTTGGGACTGTCAGGACGCAGCAATCATGTGACTCGCGGCGCTGAAGCCCCAGGAGTGCTGTTTTTGCCATGCATGAAGATTCTCAGACGGTTGTCTTCCAATGGGGCACTTCCGCAATGAAGATACATTCTTGCAGAGGCCTATTGCGAGGGAACTTGGAGGGACAATGTATTGCAACATCGTTGCTGCGCCTTGTGTTTACACTGGTGCTCCTCCTCCTCCTGCTCCGTGTCCGCCTCCGTCCCCTGTCTCCTCATCCGTCTCCGCCTCAATCTCCGTCTCCGTCTCCGCGTCCGTGTACGTGTCCGCTTCCATCTCCTCCTGCTCCTCGCCTCCCTCCTCCTCCTCCTCGTCCTCCTCCTCCTCCTTCTCGTCCTCGTCGTCCTCCTCCTCCTCCTCCTCCTCCTCATCGTCCTCCCTCTCAAGAGGTCTCAAGAGGTCTCCGGGGGTTTCCTGAAGTTCCATGGGTCCCCAGGCTCAATTGGGGCCCCGAGAATCATCCCGAGGCCCAGAAAAGGGCTGGCGACGTTCTCAAACACCTCGATATTCGGCCCTCCTTCCTCCTCCATCCTCCTCCTCCTCCTCCTCCTCCTCCTCCTCCTCTCCTCCCTCCTCCTCCTCCTCCTCTTCCTCTTCTCCTCTCTCCTCCTTACTTCCCCCTCCTCCTCCTCCTCCTCCTCCTCCTCCTCTCCGCCTCGTCCTCTCCTCCTCCTCCTCCTCCTCCTCCTCCTCCTCCTCCTCCTCAAGGGCCCTCCTCGAAAGATGGGATGTGCGAAGAGCCGCAGTCCGCTGTCGGGGAGCCTGGCAAAAAGTCACGATCTTTACCTTGGGCTCCCGCTGCGCGCGCTTCTGCATGATGGCCTGCGTGGCCCGCCCCCGCACCGCCGTCGCCGTGGCCACCGCCACCTCGCCGTCGTTGTTGCAGTCGCCGTCGCCGCCGCCGCCGCTCTCCGGCGCCTGCCGCCCTCGCCTCCGTCGTCGCCGTCGCCGTCGCCACCGCCGTCGCAGTCGCAGTCGCCGTGGCCGCTGCCGTGGCCGTCCTCGTCCTCGCCGTCCCCCGTCGGCCCCGTCCTCGTCGTCCTCCGTCGTTCCCTGGCGCTCTCGTCCTCGCCGTCCGCCGTCCTCCGCCGTCCTGCCCTCGCCTCGTCGCCCACGCCCTCCCCGAGCTGCCTGGGAGGAGCCGGCGCGGTGCCGGGCGGAGCCGGAGCGCCTGCTCGGGCCCCGCCCGGAAGGAAGCGGAGGCCGCTTCGCCCCTCGGCGCCGCCGCCGAGAGGAGCCCTCGCCGCATGCTGCTCCCATCGTACACCCTGCGAAATGCTTAAGAAATCATGGGTTAAGAAATTCATAGTCTCAGAATTTGAATAAAAACTCCAAGCTTCTACCAAACTTGTAGGATTTACATTGAAACATTAAGAATAAGCGAGACTCTGGCCGAAAATTTTAGTTTTCTTAAGCATCGCCTAAGGTGTACTTGAGGGCCACATCCCAGAAGTAATTTCGAGCACCCAGGAAAGTATCGAAACGGTGTCGAACGAGTATCGCCTCCCGGGGCCCGACACGAGAAAACCCTCAAGCTTCGGTACTTTCAGGGTGTTCGAGATTCTTCCTGGTGGCCATGGCTAAAGTAGGTTGGAACATCGTAACCCTCGCCTCGCCTCGCCTCGTGAGCTTCAGGGGGGAGTGCCTCACGATCAAGGTGGGGGGCTCCTTACTCAGGGCCCCCCCCCCAGGAGGCCCAACTGTGGCCTCTCGGGGGCCTCTCGATGAGGGGGGAGCGTTATTTTAAAGGGGGGGCGGGAGCTCGACGATGGTGCAGGAGGTGGCCGAAGGCGGCGAGGAGGCCTGCGCGCATGCGGACGGGCCCGAAGCAGGACTCCGCCGTCGCCGGTGCCCACGCAGACTCGCACCGGTGGGGGGGGCTCCAGCAGCGGGCCCCGAAAAAGATCCAGGCACGGGCGAGCGGGCGGCTGTGCAGGCGAAGGCCACCAGAGGCTGACGCCCTCACCGAGCCTCGCCATCTGGCGAGGGGCAACTTCATAGGGGAGGACTGGCTCTCGGGGCGGAACATCGAGCCCGAATCGGCGACCCATCGCCGATTCATCGGCGGCAAGCCCCCGATGGCAAATCCGCACGGTCCAGGGCGGGGTGGGCTATCGGATCCCCATCGGTGATCAATCGGCGATTGAGGGTCGATACGTTCCCGCCCCCCCCCCCCCCCTGAGCCTATCCCCCCCTAACGTTGCCCCTGACTCGAGCGCCGGCTCAAGCTGCCTATAAAAGGGGGGCCTCTCGCGCACCGGCGGGCCGCCAAGTCAGGAGCCGAGGCGCTCTTCTTTTGTACCTTTCGCCATGAAGCAAAGCGGGTCTTACGGAACACTTGTCCTGAATTTCTTCGCCGTTTTCGGGCTCTCGTGGCCCTCCCGAGGCCTCGGGACGGTCAGGGAACGGTCCTGGACGAGGACCTGGTCCTCGGGGAAGGCCTTCGGGGGCCAGGATCCGTTTTCCACAGGATACTCGAGCCAAATTTTGAATGCCTCCGCGGCGGGTTCCGTCGCAATGACGTCGGCACTTGCTTCTGACACCGCGTGGATCCTTCAGCCTCGAACCCCCAGGGGCCTCGAAACCTCGTCAAAACAGGGGGTACGAAGCCCCTGGGGGACCCCTCCTGGAAAACCCCCTCCCCCAAACTCCCTTTGGAACCCTCTGGTCGAACCGCTCGCGGCTCTCCGATGGCGCAGATGGCTCGGCGTCGGCCGTTTCCGGGCCGGTGGCGGCGTCCCACCTCGAACGCCCGCGCTGGGGTCGCCGCTGCGGCGGCACGACATGGCCTTGAGCATCTCCGAAGCAATCAGGCAACTCCCTGACCCCAGACCTCCTCCTCCTCCTCCTCCTCCTCGTCCATCCTCCTCCTCCTCCTCCTCCTCCTCCTCCTCCTCCTCCTCCTCCTCCTCCTCCTCCCCCTCCTCCTTCTCCTCCTCCTGCTGCTCCTCCTCCTGCTCCTGCTGCTGCTCCTGCTGCTTCTGCTGCTCCTCCTCCTCCTCCTCCTCCTCCTCCTCCTCCCTCTTGCCTCCTCCTCCTCCTCCTCCTCCTCCTCCATCCTCCCTCCCTCCAGACGCTCGCTGCCAAGTTCCTCTGCGTCAGACCGTCGCGTGTTGCCAGAAGTGTCTCTGGCCCAGGGTGTCCCCAAGATCTCCGAGGAGGCCTCCGCAGCCTCCCGAGTGCGCCCCTCACGAGGCCCAGAGGGTCCAGGGAGCTCCCCAATGGAGCGAGAAGCTGGGGGCACCTCGGGCCAAGGACACCTTTGGCAACCCTCCATCCAATGACTCGGGGCGCTTCCACAGCGCCATCAGGCTGGTCCCGGGAAGGGATCGGGTCGCGAGCTCCAGGGGCCGAAGTGGCTCGAAAAAGATCGAGTCGTCGGAAGTCTGGCCTTCGGAGCAGTCAGGCAGTCTCCCAACCCCTGGGGAGGGGGAGGAGTCTGATGGGGTGGGTGAGGAGGAGGAGGAGGAGGAGGAGGAGGAGGAGGAGGAGGAGGAGGAGGAGGAGGAGGAGGAGAAGGAGCGCACGTCACCAGGGCGGGGCGGGTCAGGAGAAGGAGGAGGAGGAGGAGGAAGAGGAGGAGGAGGAGGAGGAGAAGCAAGAGGAGGATGAGGAGGAGGAAGAGGAGGAGGATGATGAGCAGGATGGGGTGAATGATGATGGTGATGATGATGATGCTAATGATGATGATGATGGTGATGCTGATGATGGTACTTATTCCAATGCTGGTGGTGATGATGGTGAGGTGGCGACGATGGCGATGACGATGGCGATGACGATGCTGATGAGGATGCTGCTGATGATGATGCTGATTTTGATGCTGTTGAGGATGATGATGGTGGTGAAGTTGGTGATGATGTCATTGTTATTACTGGTGTTCTGGTTGTTGTTGCGGTTGCTGTTGTTGTTGTTGTTGTTGCTGTTGTTATTGCTTTTGTTTATGTTGGTGTTGTTGTTGTTGCCGTTGTTGTTGATAATGTTGTTACTGACGTGGTTGTGTTTCTTGTTGCGGCTGCTGATGTTTTTTGTTGTTGATTCAGATGGTGATGAGGTTGATGCTGCTGTTGCTGTTGTTGTCGTCGTCGTCGTCGTTGTTATCATTACTGTGGTTGTGGTTGTTGTTGTTGTCGCTGCTGTTGATGATGATGCTGCTTCTGATGATGATGATACTGATGATGCTGGCGAGGAGGAGGAGGAGTAGGAGGAGGAGAAGGAGGAGGAGGAGGAAGAGGAGGACAAGGAAGACGAGGAAGTGAGGAGAAATAATGCCTTGCTGAATGTAGGTCCCAGGATGCCGTCGGATCTGGCAAGTCCGCGGGATGCACGGGTTGGTGGTGGAGGAGGAGGAGGAGTAATATAGAGTGGGGTTGAGGAGGGGCAGCATCAAGATGGGGAGGGGCGGAGGAGCAGTAAGTGGAGGGGGAGGAAGAGGGAGGAGAAGTCGCACCCCTGGGACTGCATCAGGCCTGTTCTTCAGCTTGAAAGCCTGGCCCCCGATTTGAAGTTCTGGTGTCTCCTCCTCCTCCTCCCTCTGCTCCTCCTCCTTTTCCTCCCCCCCCATCCTCCTCCCCTTCCTCTTCCTTCTCCTCCTCTTCCTCCTCCTCCTCCTCTCCTCCTCCTTCTTGCCCTCCTTCTCCTCCACCTCCTTATCCACCTTCTCATCCGCCTCCTCGGGCACCGTTGGCAAAACTTCAGGAGATGGCCTGCGCCTTGAAAACGTCGCTGCGGTGTATCAAGGTGATGGACTTTGCGAACCGCGCTAGGAAGAGCGCGTCTTCGAAAGCAACATCACCACCCCCAACGACCAGAACGTCCTCCGCCCCACTCCATCTTCAATGGGCAACAACAATGATGCAATGATCTCCGCACTCGCGAGTTTGGATGGATATAGCAGGCTCAGAGAAGTACCAAGCAATGCAAGCCAAACTCGTTCAGGGGATATGTTTATGTATAACCAGAGAGAGAGAGAGAGAGACCAACAGAGAAATATAAAGAGAGAGAACGCGAGAGAGAGCGAGGGAGATAGAGATATCCTTGTGTATTCGCAACGCAAGTGATTCTGGCATGCCGATGCAAGTCTATTACGCGTGTGCAGGTGCATCATTCAACGCGTGGACGTGGTGGACAAGAAAGCATCGCACAACTTTGCGTCGCTGAGCCCTGCACTGCCATGCCTGGTTCCGCATCTCGCGCTACTATTTCCCACCTTCGCCGAACTCAATCGAGATGCCACAATCTAGTCGGCCTCGCATCATCCAGCCTCGATCGACAATGACCTTTTACGGGCACAGTCAACGCATGCCCACTGCGTCGCTGGGGAGGCGCTTCGGCTGCTAGCTGTTATGCCCATACTCCAAATGGGCACACACATGCATTCATGTGGATGCTCAACCATACGTGCGGTGTTCGGGCATATATGTACGCGTGCGCACCCCTGCGATACATTACACCAACATTCAATGCAGATGCATTACACCACCATTCAATGCAATTTATTCCAGCGGGACGCTGAACTGCACACTGCACTGCCCTACGGCGCACCATACCACACTGCGATGCGCTACACCACATTACCGATGCACATAGAAGGCGCTACGCTGAGCTACGCTATGCTGCGCCCCACTACACCAAACACACCCAATCTTACATTACATCGCACCCCATTGCTCTGCATTCCATTGCGTTCAAGTCGCCTTGCCCCCATCCAGGTCAATTATACGTTGCCCTGGTCCAGTCATTATTATGGCGTTACTCCTAGCCTGTCCTGCGATACCTTCCATTCCACTGCAATGACTTACATTGCAATGAACGCGAATTGTGCCACATTGAATGGCGCGGCGTTGCATATTAGGCACACTACACTGCGCTGCAACACTGCACACGACATTCCATAGCGTCACACACAAGAACACAAACATGCGTCCACACATGGAAGCATACTCGTACGCATGCTACCTCTTCATCCGCCAAAGCTGGGAATCACGATCGCATCTGCCCTTTCGGGGCGAGAACACTGAATTACATCGAAACTACGGGTAGCGCGCTCAAACCAGAATCGCAGTATTTCGTGTTAGGGCATGCACCTAGTGGACGACGCAAATGGCAATAACGTGCGACGAAACTAGATAACCATGCCGTTCACGTGCAGGAGAGGAGTACCCACAATGTTAGCTAGCCTAGACCCCAAATAATGAATCATTGCACTGCTGAGATAGACCGTGTCTTTTTGTAAACTACGTGGTGGAAGCTGTGCTGTGTAAAACTTTGTGGTGCGAGCTATATGGTGCAAGATAGACTGTGAGAACTCGGTAGTGCAAGCTATGCTTGTTAAGCTATGTGTTGCGAGCTATATTATGTGAGCTATGCTGTGTCAACTCTGTGATGAAAGCTGTACGGTGTAACATATGCGGTCTTGGTGTGCTAAGCGTCGCGGTCTTTTGCTGCGTCCCATGTTTCTTTGGTCAATGGAAGACGAAACGTGCTTGAACATTCTTTCGCCAACGGTTGGATCGCAATGGGGAAGATGGTTGCAACGGAAAACCATTGAAGTAAAGCAATCCGGACGAAACTCCAAATGTCCTTAACCCAATAGGGAATCACAATCAACCGCACCCCAACATGCTCACATAGACGCTCCTTCAATTTGTCACGCACGAGAATACTCCGCAACGAATCCTCGCCTGCTTTGCCATGTCCGCCACCGTGCTGTCGGCGCGCTTCAGTGCGTGAAAATGCCAGTTGGTTTTCTTGGAGAGTTTCTGTATATTCCGAGGTCGAATGCCTCTCTCGCCGCGTGAGCCTTTGGGAAAACGCCACTCCTGAGTTTCCATACCTGACGCGTTTCATGGTCCCCAGAGGGCCTCAAGTCGGCCCACAACCGCCCCAAGACGGCTACAACATGTCCAAGACCAGAGCCCAAAGACGACCCCTCAACCACCAAGACGACCCAAGACAGCTTGATAACCTCCAAGAAGGCACAAGACTGTCCCTAGAGGGTTCCAATACGGCCACAAGATCCGCCTAGACGGCCGCAAGTCTCTTCTGCAGAGCTCGGTAGAACCATTGCACTCACGACATCCCCGAGACCCCCAAGAGGGCCCCCAAGAGGGCCCCCCAGAAGCTTCAGACCAAACACGCTAGCCTCTCAGAAACTCCCAATGGACACCGCAACAATTATGCCACGTTGTTGCCACGCACCGGTGCAGTATCTTAGTACACCTTCACACGCGGCCCCAAGATTGTTATAGCAAGTCTTCTCTAGATGCGGTTCGATGCTGCAATTGCACGGGGCACGGTGGCGGGATTTGCCGCAAGCAACTAAATATAGTATTGAAATACGATTCTGGTAGATAGTGTTGATCGCCATTGTATTCGAATGCTAATCCCAACACCTCGCAATAACCATCCAATTCCAATGCCCGCTTATTCAAGCCAATCAAAAAATGTGGCCGGCAACTGGGAAAGTGCTTGCCGAGAAATATTCGCTCGAAGATGTGACGGATTTCTTGCTCCCTTTTGCCATACGGCCTTCTGCCAGCGGCGCACTGTGGGCACCAAGTACCAGAATATTTGATGTGTTTGAGGGCGGTATGCCACTCGTGCCCGTGCGCGCATCGCCAGTGTAAGGGTACATTCACGTTCATGAATTCGGTAGACAGGCAAGAGCCACCATGCTGGACAGCGATTTGGGCAGCAACCTCAAGACCAAGACGAAGCTTGTCATACCGGCACTTTCGGCACCACGTCCCCTTTCTTTTGACAGAGTCTAGTGGCGCATGCCACTCGTGACCATGATCGCAACGCCATTTCAAAGGAGTTGTCAAACCAGAACACGCGATGGACAAACAATATCCACCCCTTGCGCTTGCGATCCTGACAGCAAGCTCTAGAAAGTTGTTACTGCGACATGTTGGACACCACCCGCTGGCGTTTCTTATCCTTCTCAATGGTGACCACCATTCGTGCCCCTCCCTACATCTCCACTTGTAATGCTTCTGCTCGTTCACGTCTGCCTGATCTGAGCACTCCCCCCCACGAATTGATGCCTCGCGCTTTGCCAACTGCAAGCCTATCAGCCGCCAGCGCATCTGACGTTTTAAACCAGCACATCGTGGACACCAGGAGCCCGCCTTCGAGGCTGTCCCTTTCACATTGTGCAGCGAGGCGTCCCATGTGTGTCCTTCCGAACACTTCCACCTCAAATGTTGTTTCGCACTCGTGTATGTGCTCGAAAGGCACGCGCCTCCCCGTACGGTTGCTTCGAGAATAGCCGCTTCGATGCCCAACGGAGGGCGCCCGCGCCCGAGGAGTGCGACTGAGGAGCGCATGCCATGGAACAAGAGGATAACGCTGCCGAGCTCCGCGCAATAATCTGGCAAATGACCAAGTATTCAATTATCAACGCAAGTTGGCTGCGGAGGCTGGGGAGGTGAAGGATTATGGGAAGACGCGGCAACGGAAGACGACAAAGAGAAGTAAGACACCTCGCGATTCCTCGAGTGTGTGGCCCCCTCCTGGGGCGCCCACGCAACCGATTTCTTCTGCTTTGTGGCCTCCAGGTGGGCTGTGTAACTGTTCTTTGCCCGCTGCCCCGGGACCTTTTTGTTTTCTCCCCTCGCTTGAGGCTTGCAAGTTGTTGAAGCACCACGTGAGGAGGCAGTGCTGCTGCATACTCCACCAGCGGGAAGATGCTCAAACTGTGTAGACGATTAGCGCCATGGTGCTACACACAGCGCTGCCGGTGGGGAATTTGCAGCAGTGCAGGCTGTCGACGTTAGGGCGGCGAGTCGTGCAGGTACTTGTTGCCCCTGAGACCTGGACATCCGACGCAAATGAAATGGCCATTCGAGACCCATCGCAACGCCGTGAACCGAATCACAACAAGAACTTCCGACCCCATCTTTACCCACGCGGGGCTCCTCGGGCCAGACCAGTCCGCGAAGGGTCCCAGGCCCGAGGCGGGGGCGCGACTATCCGCCGCCGTTCTGTTTCCGTAGCGTCCCGAGGTCCAGGGGAGGAGAGACCGTACTGGACCTGTCCTGGAACGCGTTCAACTCGGCGAATCAAGCCTTGGCGACGAGGGCCCCCCTGGAGACGCTTGCTTCCGTACCCATTTCGGTCGCACCGAGGGGACGCAGCACATCTGACAACTCCCCTTTCCCTCTCGCGGAAAACCTGGATGGGGCGCGACCACCTCGGCGCGGCTGTCACCTCCCGCCCAACGACCCAGACCTCTGACGATTGGATATTTTCCCGAGACACCGCCCATCCAGGGCTTGCGACTCCGCACCCGCAGCAAACGATCTGTGCCGAGGTAATCCTCTGACGGCCATAAGACACGGAGACGGCCTTCAGGGGCTGAAGATGAAAAGGCCCGGCCGTCAGGATATTTTTTGAATCGCCAAGGATTTGGGCCTCCTCCTGCTCCTCATCTTTCCCGTCCAGCTCCTTCTCCTCCTCCTCCCCCTCCTCCTCCTGCTCCTCTTCCTCCTCGTCCCCCTCCTCCTCCTTCACGTTTCCTGATGGAAACCTCCGTCGTGTCACGCCCTCAGACCTGTCGGTGGGGCGGGCCGAACGTTTTGCCTGAGACTTCCTCACCCTTTGTGATCCTGAAGCTTGAGATGTGCAACAATTTCACGGATGGATGGCGGGTGGTTTTCAACATGTGCCTTTCGCCCTAGCGCCGTGTAGGCTCGTCTTCAAAGTTTGCAGCACTTTCATGGAGGGAACGCGGGTCGTCATCAACATGGGACTCTCACTTTGGTGCCTTGTACAATCGTCTTCAACGTTAGCAGCAATTTTAAGGATTGAGGGC